AATCGGGATGGGTGTGTCAGAGGCGGTGCGGTTGGCGCAGGATAGAGCAGGGTTTAGGGCTGTTGTGCATAGGGTCGCTATGAGTCGGAAATGACTCGATGGCACATAACAACAACAACCCTGTATTAAGCACCTCTAGTGGTCTAGTGTGTAGGGAGTTGTGCTGCCAACCCAAAGGTGGGTGGTTTGAATCTCCCAACTCATACAAGGGAGAAAGATGGGCAGTCTCCTCTTGTGTGGTTCCAGCCTCTGAAATCTCAATGGAGGACCAACCACAAGTCTATTCCAGCGTGATGGTAGTGAGTTTTGTTTTTTAAAGACATGTGTGTCTTATTGAATCTTCAATAGGTAGTGGGAATAAAGACTCTGGGCTTTTCAGATTATAAAATCACGGCTCAGGGAGGCTAATGGTGCAGAAGCTTCTGGTCCCTGGCTCTGTCCTCTGGTCATTTGTTGTGTGGGTGTTGAGCAGGACTGCCCTCAGCATCAGCAGGGACGTCAGGACAAGGTCAGTAGGCGGTGCTTTGTGTGTGGTGTCTGTGGACACACGAGGTAAAGGAAAGTGGACCGAGGACAGAGCTTTGCTTTTATCATTTTTTGGAATAAACTGATCAAACATTGACTTGTTTCACAGACATTTATGGAAATGTTCTGTCAGCCAGTAAGGGTTGATGAAATGTGAGGCTGGTCCGTCCTGCCGAACCCCTCACTTAGAGGGGACGGGGAGGCCCGGCGCTCAACTGATGGCATGCAGGTCACAGTGCCGGTCACAGGTCCTCGGTTTGCTCCTGCAGGACAGACAATGCTGTGAAGAACCACTGGAACTCCACTATCAGGCGGAAGGTGGACACGGGCAGTTTCCTGAGCGACTCCAAAGACTGCAAACCCCCTGTGTACTTGGTGCTGGAGTTCGAGGAGAAGGACGGTCACCCAATGAATGTCCGCCCCAATGAAGGCCAGGTGAGCTGCTGCCCGAGGCTGTCCAGCCTGTGGCCTGTTTATTCACTTTGATTTTCTAGTTCTCCACTTCTCGTCTTTACCCACAGCAGCTCCTCAGCCTCTTCCAGCAGGCGTGTGTGTGCGACGTTTGGGTTAGCAGTACCGTGCTGTGGACTCTCCTCAGCCTCTTCCAGCAGGCGTGTGTGTGCGACGTTTGGGTTAGCAGTACTGTGCTGTGGACTCTCCTCAGCCTCTTCCAGCAGGCGTGTGTGTGCGCGACGTTTGGGTTAGCAGTACCGTGCTGTGGACTACACATCAGGGCTCCGACCAGCATCTTTGAAAGGATTATCTGTGCGAAAACAAGCTGTCAACAGTAACTGTAGCCCAGATGAGACGTTGTTTAGGGAGTAGTGTTGCTTCCACATTAACAGTATGTTCACTGCCCCTGAGGGTTTCCGTCGAGTTTTTTGAGTAGTTGTTGCGTGCCTTCCAGTCAGAATCAATCCGTAGCTGCCCCTCAGGCAGATTTTGAGAGGTAATTGTCTATCTTCTCCAGAAGAGCATCTGGTGGATTTGAACCGAGTGTCTCACCACCAGAGCTGTTGGCATTCCCTTGTAGATAGATCTTAAAAGAACATAATGCTTAAGGCTGATTTTTCTTTTCTTTTTTATAATCAGTAAAGCTAATATCTTAAAACGGCTTCAGGGATTGTGTTTGGTTGATGGTCTAAAGGTTATGCAGGAGTTTACCCAGCTACCATATTTCCAGGATGTCTGATGCTCTTAAGAACTTGAAATTCTGTTCTTGAATTTTTTTTAAAGAATTAAAAAAAATTTTTTTTATTATTAATTTCAATGAAAATGTACAGAGACTTTGGATTTCCATTCATTCATTGTTGCACTTTTCTTCCTGCCCACCCCTCCCCCATCCAGTATACTCTTCTCTTTGAAAAGTGAAAGAAAAATTCTTTCATTGTTGTTTTACAATCCCTCCCCCCAGTTCCATTCCACTACTGGATTTCTGTCATGACAAACATACCTAATCACATATCCCTTTTAAACAGTTTTCTCCCTCATCTGTTTCAATGCAGTATTCATTATTTATTTAACCCCTCTTTCTCAGTCTCCCCCCAACCCCGAGGTCAGTCCTGTTTTACAACAGTGGCACCATGCACTATTTGTCCCTTTGTGACTGAGATACTTCACTCAGCATAATGTCCTCCAGAGTCACCCATTTTGCATAATATTTCATGAGTTCCTTGTTTTTTTTAATGCAGCATAGTATTCCATTGTGTGAATGTACCACAGCTTCTCTATCCATTTGCTTGTTGATGGGCACTTAGGTTGTTTCCAACTCCTTGCTATTGTGAACAAAGCTGCAGTAAACGTGGGTGTGCATCTATCTGCTTGGATGTCAGTTGTGGTCTCTTCGGGGTATATTCCCAGTCGTGGAATTGCTGGGTCAAATGGTATCTCTATTTGCAACTTTTTGAGAAAGCACCATACTGCCTTCCACAGTGGTTGCACCGTTTTACACTCCCACCAACAGTGAATCAGGGTTCCAGTTTCTCCACAGCCTTGCCAGCATTTGTTGCTTGCTGTTCTGTTAAATTGTGCTATTCTGACTGGGGTGAGATGATATTTCATAGTTGTTTTGATTTGCATCTCTCTTAGAGCTAGGGATTTTGAACATTTCTTCATGTGCTTGTTGGCCATCTGAATGTCTTCTTTGGTGAAATGTTTGTTCATCTCCTGTGCCCTTTTTTCAATTGGATTATTTACCTTTATCTTGTTGTGGTGCAGGTTAGGAATGTTTACACCTGCTTATAGCAGTGTTAGCATCACTGTAATCATAACACAAAAGTTTCTTCACACTGAGTAACCAGCTCCTCCCCAAGCCCTTCATTGGAGCCTGGATGTGTTCAATTCCTGCACCGCCCCAGAGACTTCTGCTCATCCTCTCTCCCACAGGGCTTCAAACTGGTTCATTCCAGTGTGACCCCCTAGATGTTCTGAACCTGAATCTGCATTTTCTCTATCTTGGAGATCTGTAAAAATCTGTTGATTGTGGATTGGAAAGGAAAATTCTCAGCAGGGTGGGCGTTGAACAGGTTTGAAGCCCTTGGGTCTCTCTCATGACAAAAGTCCAGACAGAATGCCCTTGTGTCCAACAGGGAAGCCTTGTGAGCAGCTGGCCTCAGGTGCCCCCCGTCGTGAAGGAAGAGGAAAGCAGCGAGGAGGAGGCTGGGGTCCCCGCCACATCTCAGGAGCGGGAGGCTGTCGCTGCAGAGCCGAGAAGAGCGTGGACCCCAGAGCCCATGGAGGAGTTTCCCCAGCATGAGGACCAGGAGGGCTCCCTGCCCGAAGTGAGCCTGCCCTACAAGTGGGTGGTGGAGGACACCAACCTCCTGAGCCCAGTCGTGGGGTCATCGAGCCTCTCAGAAGCCCTGGACTTAATCGAGTCGGTAATGTGGGTCAGGACACAGCATGGTGGGGCTGTTTCTCTTGGAAGCGTGTGTCCTCCCGTCATGCCACAGCCCTCCGCCATTCACTGAGTTGATGCCGTGTTCTTGGTCCTGAACTTAAGGCTGGGGACGCTTGCCAGTGTTACCCTGCCGTCCATGCCCTCAGGCACCTCCCACTGAGATCACAGGGGTATGCAGAGAGGTACTGACATGTGCTGTGCAGTACGGGGTGGGTGGGTGGGAAGGTCTCCCAAAGGAGGCACCTACATTGAATCTTCAAGGACAGTGTGTCAGGGGACATAGCACTGGAGCAAGTGACTTGGTAGCTCCACTGTTAGGTTGTCCGGAGAAGGGCCTGGGAGTATGGGTTTAGGACTGGTCTTGGTCTGCAGATTTGAGCACAGAGCTGGTGACCACATAGATTGTGTCCCTTGATGAAGAGAGCCCCTTGATGGGGCTACACCTGGAGTGGTCTTTTTTTTTTGTAATTATTTTTAATTTGGTGTACCATTGAATTGGATCCAACTGGAACAGGGCGAGTTTGTCCCTCCTTCTCCAGCAGAGCATCTGGTGGATTTGAACCATGTACCTTCGGGATTGCAGTGCAGCTTCTTGCCACTAGGCCAGTGGAGCTCCCTGAGTGGTCCTTTTTTTATAGCAACCTCAGCTAGGACTGTGGCACTGTGCTCGATGCAAGAGGCTGACAGGGTCGGTGGGGTTCAGAGGAGGCTCCACATTGACCGTCTCCTTGGCCTTCTCTTTCCTCACTGGAAAGGATACTGCTGTTTATTGGGCATCTGCTAAATGCTAGGCTCTGAGCTCCACATTCCCCCCCGAGCAGTCCTGTGGGCGCTGTGTTCTTCGTTTATGCTTTGTGACTGAGTCTGGACTCAGAGAGGTGGAGTAGCATGCCTGGGATCATATAGTAAGAGAACTGGTAGCCTCGGCCTTTGTGCTGTGATGTTGCCCACTGAAGGGTTGAGTGGTGTCTCCAGGGTGGCCATCTGCTCAGATTTTCAAGGGCCCCTGAGCCACTAGGATCAGACCCAACTGCAGGGTGTTTCCGTGTTCCCCTTCCGCCTCCTGAGAAGTTTCAGTGTGGCGTGGGAGCTGGATGTGACAGTTTTATCCAACTGTTCAGCAAGTAGTTCCGAGGCCGCTGCGTGCTGTCCCTGCTTTGGGCTCTAAAGGGGAGTGTCCAGATGTGCGGGGCCCACTCTGTACCTGGAGATGCTGGGTTCGTGGTATTAATCACTATTCTGTTTCTCCCTCCACTTGACAGACAGAGCAGCAGGCAGGCGGGAGCACTCTTAGACTGAGTGCTCACTGATTGCCAAGCCTAATGCTTAATGAGTAATTACAGTGCCTGGTATCTGAGCGTCTGCTGTGTGTCAGGTCTGTTATTCACAAGCTAGTGTGTGCTCTCAGCCAGCCCCTCAACAGTCCAGTGAAGTGGATGGTGAGCTCACCACATGGGAAGGAACTGTCAAGTTAAAGAGGGTCAGAGATTTAAAGTCACACAGCTACTAAGGGCTGGGGGCAGGAGTTAGGCCCCAGCATGCCTGGCTCTAGGCTCAGGTGCTTTTCATGATTTTCCTTCAGGGCTTCTTGGAGGATTCAGAGCATTTGCTGACATTCTGCGTTTCCCTGGCCTGTAGCCTTTGCTCACGGTAGTCCTAATAGGGTCTCTCTGGTCATTTGGGTTCCTGTCATTTTTGAGGCCTCTCTGCTATGGGATTTGTTGCTGGGAGTGTGGGCCTATGATCAGCATGGCCCCTAAGCTGGCCTCGACCATATGGAGGGAGCTGCCCCATTCTCCTGCATGTTCCAGGGACCAGAAATCACCACAGTGGGGATAGGGGTGGGGGTGGGGGTGTCTGGATGTACTTAGAGCTAAGATGCCAATAACTGGGGGACCTTTTATTTTCTGACCTGTTGGCTTGGGTTATGGTCTAGTGAGTAAATCCTGGAATGACGTGAGTACTGCTCAGTGACCTCAAGCAGGTCACCTGTCCCAGGCTTAGATCCTTTATGTGAAAGGAGAAATGTAGATCCCCTCGAGATGGGGCTGTGAGGACTGGAATCATCTGTGAAGGGCCGTGGTGGGCCTGGCCTAAGCCGAGTGCCCTCCGGGAACATTCAGCTGGTGCCTCTTACCCAAGAGGGTGGCCGTGGACTCAAAGCCCTGACCATGTCGCAGCTCTGGGCCCACTAGCTCCCCCTCAAGGAATCTGCACTGAAGAAATGTTTGAAGATACAAGAGAAGAAAGCTACTAAACCAAGAAGTGACAAAAAGGGTTATTTAGTTAGTTAGTTAGTCATTCATTCATTCATTTTAAATTTTGAAAGATTAGGGATGTCCAACAGAAGGGAAATGAAAAGTGCTGGTAGTTATGTTGTTGTTGAGTACTGTTGAGTTGGAACCGACCCGTAGCTGACCCATACAGGTTTCAGAGGCAGGACTGCACAACCTTCCACAACGGTGGATTCGAGCTCTGCCTTTGGGTTTGCAGCACAATTTCTCACAATTAGGCCACCAGGGCTCCCTGTGATGGGATGTTTTATAGCCATAGAAATTCTATCTTATAAAAGTTGACAGAGTTGTGAATTTTTTTAAAAACAACCATAATAACAACAACATTTGTTACTATTTAATTCATAGGTAACAGAATTAGGTATTATTATCGTTCCCTGTTTTCTCTGGCTCAGAGAGGGTAGGAGACTTGTTGACGTCACACAGCTGGTAAGTCCAGGGGCGAGAGACAGACCCCAGAGACCTCAGACTCCTTACCACACTTAACCTGCCACTCTCGGGAAAGTGAAAGCATTTATCTGCTGCTCCTGTCCCGCCGGATCTGCAGGAATTTCAGATGAGAGGAGAAAGAAGCAGGCTGTAGAAATGAGTTCTAGAAAGATCAGAATATCCTGTATCATTTGTTATTGTTGCCTTAGGGGCCGTTGAGTCAGTTTCAGCACATAGTGACCCTTGGTGACAGAACTGCCTGTGGCGTTTTCTGGGCTTTGTGTCTATGGGAGCAGCCCCCAGGCTCTTCTTCACCGTGAGGTGACTTTGAAGCACTGACCATTCATTTAGCAGCTCAGTGCATAACCATTGCCCCTTTCTGTCATTTAGAGACACATGTAAGTGGTTAAAAAAAAAAGGATTTGTTAAATGCTAAATTTAAGTTGTTCTGTTATGGACTGTTGTGTTAGAACTGAGTCAAAGCTGACACACAGCAGTTTTCGGAGGTTGTAAATCACTCGGGAGGAGGTGGCCTGTCTTTCTCCCTCGGAGCGGCTGGTGGATCTGAACCGGGTGTCTTTGGGTTGGCAGTGCACCTCTTTATTTATTACTAAGCCACCAGAGCGCCGGTGGTTGTTGTTTACTGTCAGATTGGAACTGACTCATAGCCGACCCACCAGTGGGTTTTGAGAGGCAGTAAATCACACAGGAGGAGACTGCCCATCTTCTCCTACACAGCAGCTAGTGGATTTGAACAGCCTGCCTTTGGGTTGGCAGCACAACTCCTTACCACAGGTCCCCAGAGCTTCTCAGCGGTGGGCTCCTCACTGACAGAATTTGCTCAAGGTGGTGGTTGGCACCGGGCTTCAGTACGGTTTTATTCCTTAGGCTTATTGATGGTTCTCTTGAGTTTTCATTCTTTTTTATTTTTTGGTGTGTGTGTGTTTCTTGATATTAAAATATTGCATGAAGCAGGGTTTTAAAAAAATTTTTTATTCTAATTTTTTCTGTACTCTCAAATCAGATTTGACTGGGACAGGAAGAGATTGTCCCTTGTTCTCCAGCAAAGCATCTGGTGGATTCAAACCTCATATGTCTGGGATTGCAGTGCAGCTTCTTGCCCCTAGGCCACCAGAGCTCCCTGCATGAAGCAGGTTTTTTTAAAAAAAATAACAGCAGGCTGCCATATGAACAGCATGGCTTCAGCTATGTTTAAAAATCCGGATAAATAGATACAGAAGCATCCAAGAGGAAATGGGGGACATCAATGACTGTTCCTGGGCTGGGGACTGTGTGTCACGTGCCTTTGATTTCCCTTAGCACATGAGTTGTGCCGTATTTATTCGAGTAGCAAAGGAGGATAATTGTCCTCTTTTCCCCTCCTCTCTGGCAGGACCCTGATGCTTGGTGTGACCTGAGTAAGTTTGACCTGCCCGAGGAGCCGTCCGCAGAGGTCAGCATGAGCACTAGCCCGGTGCAGCCTGAGGCACTGCGGCAGGTACAGGTGCCCAGTGTGACGGAGTACCGCCTGGACGGCCACACCATCTCGGACCTGAGCCGGAGCAGCCGGGGCGAGCTCATCCCCATCTCCCCGAGCACCGATGTCGGCGGCCTGGGCATTGGCACGCCGCCCTCCATGCTCAAGCGGCAGAAGAAGAGGCGTGTGGCTCTGTCGCCGCCGGTCACGGAGAACAGTGCCAGCCTCTCCTTCCTGGACTCCTGCCTCACGCCCAAGAGCACGCCCGTCAAGACCCTGCCCTTCTCACCCTCCCAGGTGTGTGCCCGATCGCCCACAAGCGTGCCTGCTCCGCAGGTACTCGGAGGTTTGCGTGCCAAGCCGTGTGCTGAAGGCCGGGGACACCACTGCCACCACATGTCATCCAGTCATCCCTGCCTCTCTGCAGCCCCATTATGTCAGGCTAGACCTGTGCTCCGTGGCTTTTATTTTAATATCTTGTACCTGATACAGGCCCTGGTCTTTGCTATCACTTGTTATGCATCAGAGAGTTGGACAATGACTAAGGAGGATAGAAGGAGAATTGATGCCTTTGAGCTGTGGTGCTGGAGAAGAGTATTGAATGTACCCTGGACTGCCAGGAAAACAAACAGGTTCATCCTGGAGAAGGTTAAACCAGGCTACTCCTTGGAGGCAAGGATTCTGGGGCTTCGTCTGACATACTTTGTACATGTTGTAAGGAGGGACCGGTCCTTGGAGAAGGACATTATGCTTGGTAGGGTGAAGGGACAGTGCAGGAGGGGAAGACCCTCTATGAGGTGGATTGATTCAGTGACTGGGGTAATCAGATGGGTGAGTCAGAGACAGTGCGATTGGTCCAGGACAGAGCCGAGTTAGGGCTGTTGTACATACGGTCACTGTGAGTCGCAGGCAACTCGATGGCACATAACAACAACAGCAGCGTGCACAGTGGAACGAAAATAGGCTCCCACACACACTGTTTAGCATCACTGATTGTGGTCTTCAGCATGTCAACACTGTCATTCCGTTCTTGTCATCGCAATCCCATCAGTTCAGTCTCACAGTCCAGCTCTTACCTTGTCACCTGTGCTCCAGAGTCACTTGTCCACTGGATTTCATTTGGATACATTTAAAAAAATCCATAAGGTTTTCGATGGTACTTTTCAGCAGTAGATTGCCAGGCCTTTCCTCTGCAGTGCCTCTGAGCAGACTCGAATCGCCAGCCTGTGGTGGGCTGCTGAGTGCGTGAACTGTTTGCCCCACTTGTTTGCGCTCTGGGGTGAGTGAGGCTGAGCTGGGCCCCTGCTCCCATGATGCTTATCCTCTGGTAGGAACATCCACTCAGTAGAAAAGACCCACGTTAAGTGTGTTAGAGGGTGTGAGAGAAAGGCCATGGTGCCGCAAGGGGATCTAGGCAGCGGGTCCAGCAAGGGGAATGACGTCCGCTCAGGAAGCAGTGGTAGCTGGACAAAGACAAGGAGGGAAAGAGGACTCGGGGCTTTGTTAAAGGAGTCGGTCTGGTACACACTTACTTTGGGCCAGGTTTGCCAGTATTGGCACTAGGGAGCTGCTGGAGCAGGCACAGACCCAGCCCTTGAAGAGGAAAGCTAGCGTTGAGAACAGGCTTAGGATGAAATGATCGGAATGTTGTATGGATTGTGTTGTGATGACAGCGGTTAGTGAGTTCCTGGGCACATTGTGCTCTGGGGGCTGCTTCCACGGCTGCTGTGTGCATTGCGCCCGGTGTTAGAGGAACACCCAGGAGGGGCTCTGTTCCTGGAGGTGAGGGGCGGGCCTCAGGCTCCTGGGAGGTGTCCACGCCGGGGCTTGTGGATCTGCTTGCAGGAAGAGCACTTAGTGACAGGTGTATTGTGGGGCTGTGATGGGTGGTCAGGAAGCAGGCGGGGACCTTGACAGGGCCCAGGTGCACCTTCATTCGGCTGCTAACAGAAAGGTTAGCAATTTGGACTCACAGCAGTTCCTTGGCAGAAAGACCTGGCAATCTCCTGTAAAGATGGCAGGGTGGGATGGACGGACACACAGATGCACTTGCCTAGAGAAAACCCTAAGGGACAGTTCTGCTCTGCCGTCTAGATGGTGCTATGAGTTGACATTCCTTGCTGGCTCACAGCAGCAGTGACAGGTGTGGTCTAGGATACGTCCGTGAGGAGGCTGGAATGAAGGGTGCATTAAGGAGAGGTAGATCCTGGTGTTTTCATGTGGCCCAAACAGAAGCAAGAGGGCTGGAGCTTTGGCCCTCCCTGGCTCTGCTCCCTCCTGGGGTGTCCAGAGGTGCTGTGTTGCAGGTGGCCTCCTCCTCATCTGCGTGCTGGGATGGCCAGTGTGTTTCCAAGAGGTCCCAGGGAGGCCTGGACACTGAGGACGAACGGGAGCTCTGAGCTGCGTCAACAACAGCCCAAGGTGACAGGGCATGGAGGCCACCTTCTCCCGAGAGCCCTTGACGCGAGGGACAGCGATGCAGGTGGCTTTCCATCCAGCTCGCGCCCGCACCGCCAGGACTTTAGGGGTAGAGGGCAGTGCTTCAGGGTGCAGGCTTTGGTGTCTGGTGGAAGCTCGAGCCTCATCTGTAGGAGTCGGTGCAGGATTCCAATCCTCAGTTTCCTCTGTAAAAGAGGACAGTAACAGTACCTACAGCTCAGTAGTTGTGCGATTGCCTGAGATTATGACAGTGCTTGTTAGCCCAGTGCCGGACATGAGGAGGTCTCTGTGGACACCACCATCGTCCCTCCCCTGTGACCTTGCAGATTTATGACTTCAGCCAAGGCAGTCACCTTTCTTTGCTTTAAATGCATGGCAAGCAAGACCTAAGGGTGAAAGTTAACCTTCCAGCCAGCCTGGGAAAACTAGGATTGAGGGCAAGGAAAACCCCGAGAACTATGGGAAACCACTCTGGGCCCTGCCCCATCTTCCCCACTTTCTTACTCCCTTGAACCCGGGAGATGGGATTCTCCTGGGTCAGCAGAGGACCCCCGGATCACAGAGCGAGCACATCCAATGCAAGGACCCCAGGGCCTTCCGCCTCCGCCAGGGACCCTGGTCCACATGCAGGTCACTGTCGTGTCTTTTGTCTTTCCTTTCTCCTGCAGTTTCTGAACTTCTGGACCAAACAGGACACACTGGACCTTGAGAGCCCCTCGCTGACGTCCACCCCTGTGTGCAGTCAGAAGGTGGTGGTCACCACACCCCTGCACCGGGACAAGACGCCACTGCACCACAAACACGCTGCGTGAGTGTGGACCCCCCCACCCCACTGCTGACTCAGCCCCTTTTGACTTGGGTTTGACTTTCCCCGCTCTCCCCAGTCAACAGGCAGCCTGGGGGTACGGGAGTGCTCGGGAGAGACCTCGCCTGCGTTTCCCTCCCCTCCTCGCTGCCCACTGTACCTCCTCATTCTTGTCAGTACAGGGTGCCATATTGCTTCTGTTTTGGGGTTCCTCTCTGTTTTCGTTTGTAGTACTGTTAAGTGCCTTGAGTTGGAGCCGACTCCTAACTTACACTACCAGGTGTTCAGAGGCCGTAACTCACAGGAGGAGGTTTCATGTCTTGCTCCCTCGGAGCACCTAGCAGATTTGAACTGTGTGCCTTTGGGTTGGCAGCACAACCCCTTTCGGCTAAGCCACCAGAGCTGTACCTTCTTGTAGGGAGGTCTCCAGAGGGAGACCAGATTGCTACAAAAGACCTTTGTGGAAGGTTGCAAATCCAGTGTGAGGTTGCAAATCCGTTGTGTGACATAGTCTTCTTACATTATAGGCAGAAGTGTCCCCAACCTTCTAGGCATTGAAGTCTGTGTGGGGGTGAGGAACCCCTACCTGCCCACCTCTGGGAACTGGAGGATTGGCTAACGATACCTTATTTCTGGAATGATCTGTGATCCCTTTCCTTAGCAACCAGTCTCTTACTAGTTACCTGAAGTATAACATAGAAAATTTCATGAGAAATGATTCTGCAAGCCAGATTCTGGACTTTAAACTCCTAAACAGATATACTGGAACACAGAGGCATTTCTTAGTTGGATGATGTGTTTCTTAAAGTTGTTTTCCAGAGAGGAGTGAGGCACTGAGGGGTGAGATCTGAGCTTTCTCACTAAGGAGCTATGTAACATTGTTTTTTAAGCAGCAGGAGTAATAATTTGGTTGGACAGAAAAATCTCAGGGGAGAATAGTTTGTGTTGTGAGGTCTGTTATTCCTTTGCTTTTTCTGTCTTCAGGCTTTTGGGTTTTGTTCTTTGGTAGGTTTTTTGGGTTTGGGTTGGTTTTTGTAGTTTTCCTTGTAATTTATCAGAGGATATACAGGTGTAGTGTCTTTCTTTTCTTTTCCTAGTTTTCATTTCCACCTAAAGGCTGAAACCTTGAGCTGAGAGGAGGTTCGAGCTGCCAGTCCTTTAATTGTTGCTCCTCTGATGTCTTCCCTTTTCTCCTGTCTTTAGAATCCGATTCTTTGTAGGCTAGTTCTGTCTCTGTGCTTCTCTTCCATCTTTCTATTCCCAGTCGTAAGCCCATTCTTTGTCTTTTTTGAGAATATGGGACGGGAGTTTTGTGCAGTTGAGTCTGGTTTGCAAGTTGCCTGGTCTACGAGATTGCGTTTTCCCCTCTCTAAGCCACCTTCTGGGTTTGCTACTCAGGTTAGTGTCCTCCTAACAAGTTCACTCTCACTTCTTACAGCGACACAGAGGGTGTGGGTTATTGCTGTTATGTGCCATTGAGTCGCCTGCCACTCATAGAGACTCTGTATCACAGCTCTGAGCCCTGCTCTATCCTGAGCCAGTCTTCTCTTCTCTGACACACCTACCCCCATTACCCCCCTCACGGAGTTCAATCCATCCCATCAAAGGTCTTCCTCTTTTGCGCTGTCTCTCCTCCGTCCCCATCATGAGGGTCTGGGACTTTGTCCCGTTTCCTGCAGACATTCTGAGCCTCGTGGAGATGTCTGATCTGTGGTTCAGATGTATGTCTTCAGCTGAATGCTTAAATTTGACCAGCCTCTCTGTCTCTGCTCACCCTTGCCGCGTGTGGTCTCCCCGTGTCCTGTAGGAAGATGGGGCTTCGGGATGAGAGTGTGTGGATCTCCTTTAATCTTAGTCCTGAGGAAGGAAGAAAGGATCACTGTCTGTCCATGTTCTAGTGTTTTCTCTTCCCATGGACCCTTCAACAGGCGAGGCATTGGGCCTGGAGTGGTGACCAGAGGGACCGCGTCTCAGAGTGGACCTCTGCCCCAACTTCCTAAAGTACCTTGGGCGTTTCTTCCCTTGCCTGCTAACTGTCTCACTGAGCCCTGGGGACCCAGCCTTGGTGTCTCTGGCCCTGTGGTTCTGGGGGAGACATTGTGCCCTGGGGGAGTCTCTGTTGTCGGAGCTGGAGTGTTGTAATTTTTTTTTCCCTCTTTCAGTTGTTGGAATAAATGTAATTACATTGGCCCACTCAAGATTTTTTTTCAGATGTACAGTTCATTGGTACCAGTTACACTGATTATGTTGTGCAACTGTTGCCTTAAACGCTTGCCAAATTTCCCATCACCATAAGCAGAAGCTTACTGCCTCTTAAAGGAGTTGGCATTTGTCCATGGTCAGCCGACCCTGATCCCCGGATCTGAAGTCCAATTCTGTTCTTCTCCCCGTTGGGCCATTGCCGACAAGAAAGCATGTCTTGGCAGGTCTACATCCGAGAGAAGCCTCTTTATCCCTGTAGACGGCATTCACCGAGTTATTCCCGCTCCATGGCCCTGTTCCCCACTGTGATTATTTTGTGGAGTCTTGTGAGGACACAGTAAACCGAGCCCGTGTGGGGCGGAGCTCCTCTCCTGCCTGGCTTCTCCTCCTCCTCGCACCCCGCTGCCTGCTCTGCATTGTGGCACCCGCTCTCCAGAGAGCCTGGGGGACGGATGTGCTCTTCCTTCCTGGCTCTCTTTGCTGGGTCCCGATTTTGTCGAGAGTCACCATGGACGTGTGTGCACCAGTCACACATCTGGGTCTCCTCAGCCCCGTTTTCTCGTTTCTGAGCGTGGTCCTTCCTCTAACTCTGAGGTGGAAAGCTGCCTGGGTGTGAGTGGACAGAGCTGTGGGAAAGGAGCTGGTACTGGGGGTTTCCTCCCTGTATCTGAGGCCAGTGGTCCCAGCAGATGGGAGGAGGAGGAGGAGGCAGGTGGTGTGGGAATGGAGTGGTGACTGTCCATCCCCACCCCTTCTCTGAACCCACTTCTCCGACTCCTCACAGGTTTGTAACCCCAGAGCAGAAGTACGCCATGGACAACACTCCCCACACGCCGACCCCCTTCAAGAATGCCCTGGAGAAATACGGACCCCTGAGGCCCCTGGTACGTGGTGTGGTTGGCAGAGTTCCACGGAGGGCTCTCAGAGGCTCATCCGCCCATTTCTGGTTCATACAGCCCTCTTCTGAGCTCTCCGCTGTAGTTCTTCCAACAACCCTGAGAAGCTGCACACATAGAGAGCAGAGGAAATCTGGGCTGACTGCTGCTGTTAGAGATGACAGTTACAGCACAGGACTGTCGAGGGTTAATGGAGGGAACTGGGGATGCTCCCAGCCCACTGCACACAGGCTTTCAGGGAGCTGGGGTCATCTGTCCACCTACATGAAGTGACACAGTTAATGGATAGGACTGTAGGAGGTCAGCTTCTCCTGTGCACAGCCCATCATGGTGCTGGGTGCTTGGACCTGCCCTGCTGTCCCCTTGAGTGTGGGTGTGCTCACTCCAGGCAGTGTCCACGCTCACTCAGCTTGTGTCCAGTGCCTCATGTGGGCGGCCTCTGCCCCTGTCCACAGCCCCAGACCCCACACCTGGAGGAGGACCTGAAGGAGGTACTGCGCTCGGAGGCCGGCATCGAGCTCATCATTGAGGATGATGTGAAGCCAGAGAAGCAGAAGAGGAAGCCAGGGGTGAGTGGGTGAGGGCGGGGGGATCTGGAGCTGCGTGTGTGTGTGTGAGAGAGAGAGAGATCACCTGCAGCCTGGAGGG